ATCAAAGTGAGGTAAGACAATGGATATATGTAAAGGAAAGTAGTTCTAAGACAAATGAGGAAAATTCTATTATGCGTGCTTTGAAACTTAGCTATTCTAATTTGGAGTTGTCATTGCGGAGATGCTTTTCTTTTTGTGCAATTTTCCCCAAAGATTTTGAAATAGACAAGGAAGAATTGATTCATCTCTGGATGGCTAATGGGTTTATTGAAAGTGAAAGAAACATAGAAGTGGAGGATGTTGGAAATAAAGTGTGGAATAAATTATACAGTAGATCATTTTTTCAGGAAGCAAAGTGTGATGAGTTTGGTATGGTCAAAAGTTTCAAGATGCATGATCTATTTCATGATCTTGCCCAGTCTATTATGGGTGAAGAATGTGCGGCTTTTGTGGAAGGAAGGTTGACTCCGTTGTCAAGTAGAGTTCACTATTCAACCTTGTTATCTTCTGATGTTTCTTTTGGACGATTCAAGCATGCTTTCAAGAAAGTTGAATCCCTGCGGACTTTTCTTGATTTGCGGACTTCTTTTGTTCTTGGTAATGTTGCCCCGGTGCCATCAAACCATTCTCTCCGAGCATTATGCACAAGGTCTTCTTTGTTGTCCCCACTCAAGGATTTAACACATTTGAGATATTTGAGTTTGAATTGTGGTTATAAAGCAAACTTAAATAACGTTATTTGTCAAATGCGGAAATTGCAAATTTTGAAATTGAAACGTTCAACATATCTTCATGGACTGCCCAAAAACTTGACACAATTACAAGATCTAAGACATATTGTGATTGATTATTGTAATTCAGTAGTAGAGACGCTTCCCAAAATTAGCAAGTTAAGGCATCTAAGAACACTAAGCATTTTCGTGGTGGGTTCAAAGCCAGGGTGTGGCTTAGCAGAGTTGCATGGCTTAAATCTGGGAGGCAGGCTAAGAATCAGAGGCCTTGAGAACGTTCCGAATGAATGGGATGCTAAACAAGCAAATTTGATTGGTAAGAAGGACTTGAATATCCTGCACTTGTCATGGGATGGTAATGCTAATCCAAAAGGTAGTTATGTAAGTGTGGAGAGAGTATTGGAAGCCCTAGAACCTCCCTCAACTCTCAAGAGTTTTGGGATGAATGGATATAAAGGAAGACAGCTACCCAGTTGGATGAGAAGTTCTCTAGTTTTGAGAGACTTGGTGGAAGTTGAGCTCTCCGGCTGTGACAACTGTGAGGAGCTTCCCCCACTTGGTAAACTAGCACACTTGAAAAGGCTAAAGGTGAGTGGAATGAAAAATGTGAAGTGGATAGATGGTGAGACGTATGACGGCGTGGAGGAGAAGGCATTTCCATCGTTGGAGGAACTGATTGTTGATAATTTACCAAATTTGGAGAGGTTGTTGAGGGATGAAGGAGTAGAGATGGTCCCTCGTCTTTCCCAATTAAGAATTGATGATGTGTTGAACTTTAAAGTCCCACGTCTTCCTTGTGTTGAGACAGTTCATGCTAGAGGAATTGAGGCAGTGACTTCTTTCATGGAAGGGGTTGGGGAGAGTATGGCTTGTCTAAAGACCTTAAGCATTAAATTCATTAAAGGAGTGGTGGTATTACCCGACGAATTCAGGAGGTTGGGTGCACTACAGGAACTATACATTACAGAATGGTATGATGTGGAGTATTTTCCAGAACACGTGCTGGAAGGTCTAACTTCTCTTCGAACTTTGTCCATTCAATACTGTGAGAAATTGAAATCGTTGTCTGAAGGTGTGCGACATTTGGCTTGTCTTGAGAATTTGACAATCGGTAATTGTCCAGAGCTGGTGGCTCTACCAAGCAATATGAGCCAACTAACTGCCCTGCGGAAGGTTTCAATCAGTTATTGCAGCACATTACCAGATGGCTTACAAGGTGTCCCTTCCCTAGGAAGTTTGGATATATCATGTTGCAAATGTAGTTCATTACCGGACTGGCTGGGAGACATGACTTCTCTTCAAAAATTAAGTATTGTGTATTGTAAGGAGTTGAGGTCAGTGCCGAGTAGCCTTCAACACCTCACCAACTTGTCTCATTTAAGGATAGACGGATGTCCTCATCTGAAAAAGCGGTGCAAGAGGGAAACAGGAGAGGATTGGCAATATATAAAGCATATTCCGCAATTGGAACTATATTTCAGGAGGGAAACGACGTTTTTGTCGTGAATTCAAGAGTGTTTTGTTTACTTCTCCCGCTAACGTGTCACTCTGTCTTTGAAAATTTTGTGTAGCCTTTTTCGCGGTCTATATATTACATATAAGGTTTAATCATTCACTAAGTCCCTATTTTCGCATGGAATCTCAATTTCGTCCCTTTCTTTCTGAAAATATCAATTGGGTCCCAATTTTATGAAAATTGCAACAAATCGATCCTTTCCGTTAAATAGTGTCAAACGGCGTTAAAAAAATTTATGAGTGGATGCTGAGATGACGAACGAACGCTCGTCCACCAGCGAACGAACGCTCGTTCACCAGCGAACGAACGCTCGTCCACAGCGAACGAACGCCCGTCCACAGCGAACGAACGCTCGTCGACCACCGAACGAACGGTCGTCCAGTGTGGAACGAACGGTCGTCCAGCAGTAAGAGGTCCACGAGCGTTCGTTCGCTGGTGGACGAGCGTTCGTTCGCTGGTGGACGAGCGTTCGTTCGNCAAATTGTGAAGTTTCTTCTGGAAGACGCTAGTAACAGTGAAGAGCTCTCTATCTTTCCCATAGTTGGTATGGGTGGACTTGGAAAAACAACATTAGCCAAGCAGGTTTTCAATGATCACAGGGTATGCAAACATTTTGACTTGACAATTTGGGTTTGTGTTTCTGATGATTTCAACACCATGACAATACTACAATCCATCATAGAATGCATCACCGGACAAAATCCCAATCTCAATAGCTTAGAAGCAATGCGGAAAAAGGTTGAAGAAGTGTTGCATGGGAAGAGGTATTTACTTGTTCTTGATGATGTGTGGAATGAAGTCCCAGAGAAATGGGAGCAGTTGAAGGGAAAGTTGCAGTGCGCAAGGGCAGCAAAAGGAGCTACCATTTTAGTCACTACTCGACTCGAGGAAGTTGCTTCCACCATGCAGACGCATCCTGCTTACCGTTTGAAAGAATTGACAGGAGACGAAAGTTGGTCGTTGTTCAAATACCATGCGTTTGGACCAAACCGAGAAGAAAAGGAAGAGCTCGTGGCAATTGGCAAAGAGATCGTGAGAAACTGCATTGGTTTGCCGCTTGCCATAAAAACACTGGGAAGCCTCTTGCGAAATCAAAGTGAGGTAAGACAATGGATATATGTAAAGGAAAGTAGTTCTAAGACAAATGAGGAAAATTCTATTATGCGTGCTTTGAAACTTAGCTATTCTAATTTGGAGTTGTCATTGCGGAGATGCTTTTCTTTTTGTGCAATTTTCCCCAAAGATTTTGAAATAGACAAGGAAGAATTGATTCATCTCTGGATGGCTAATGGGTTTATTGAAAGTGAAAGAAACATAGAAGTGGAGGATGTTGGAAATAAAGTGTGGAATAAATTATACAGTAGATCATTTTTTCAGGAAGCAAAGTGTGATGAGTTTGGTATGGTCAAAAGTTTCAAGATGCACGATCTATTTCATGATCTTGCCCAGTCTATTATGGGTGAAGAATGTGCGGCTTTTGTGGAAGGAAGGTTGACTCCGTTGTCAAGTAGAGTTCACTATTCAACCTTGTTATCTTCTGATGTTTCTTTTCGAGGATTGAAGCATGCTTTCAAGAAAGTTGAATCCCTGCGAACTTTTCTTGATTTGCGGACTTCTTTTGTTCTTGGTAATGTTGCCCCGGTGCCATCAAACCATTCTCTCCGAGCATTATGCACAAGCTCTTCTTTGTTGTCCCCACTCAAGGATTTAACTCATTTGAGATATTTGAGTTTGACTTGTCATTCTAAAGCAAGCTTAAATAACTTAATTTGTCAAATGCCGAAATTGCAAATTTTGAAATTGAAAGATTCCATTCTTAGGGGACTTCCCAAAAACTTGACACAATTACAAGATCTAAGACATATTGTGATGGATTATTGTAATTCAGTAGTAGAGACGCTTCCCAAAATTAGCAAGTTAAGGCATCTAAGAACACTAAGCATTTTCGTGGTGGGTTCAAAGCCAGGGTGTGGCTTAGCAGAGTTGCATGGCTTAAATCTGGGAGGCAGGCTAAGAATCAGAGGCCTTGAGAACGTCCCCAATGAATGGGATGCTAAACAAGCAAATTTGATTGGTAAGAAGGACTTGCATATCCTGCAGTTGTCATGGGATGGTAATGCTAATCCAAAAGGTAGTAATGTAAGTGTGGAGAGAGTACTGGAAGCCCTAGAACCTCCCTCAACTCTCAAGAGTTTTGAAATGAATGGATATCAGGGAAGGCAGTTATGGAGTTGGATGAGAAATAGTTCAGTTTTGAGAGACTTGGTGGATGTTAGACTCTCAAACAGTAACAACTGTGAGGAGCTTTCCCCACTTGGTAAACTACCACACTTGAAAAGGCTAGAGGTGAGTGGAATGAAAAATGTGAAGTGCATAGATGGTGAGACGTATGACGGCGTGGAGGAGAAGGCATTTCCATCGTTGGAGGAACTGATTGTTGATAATTTACCAAATTTGGAGAGGTTGTTGAGGGATGAAGGAGTAGAGATGGTCCCTCGTCTTTCCCAATTAAGAATTGATGATGTGTTGAACTTTAAAGTCCCACGTCTTCCTTGTGTTGAGACAGTTCATGCTAGAGGAATTGAGGCAGTGACTTCTTTCATGGAAGGGGTTGGGGAGAGTATGGCTTGTCTAAAGACCTTAAGCATTAAATTCATTAAAGGAGTGGTGGTATTACCCGACGAATTCAGGAGGTTGGGTGCACTACAGGAACTATACATTAGAGAATGGTATGATGTGGAGTATTTTCCAGAACACGTGCTGGAAGGTCTAACTTCTCTTCGAACTTTGTCCGTTGAATACTGTGAGAAATTGAAATCGTTGTCTGAAGGTGTGCGACATTTGGCTTGTCTTGAGAATTTGAGAATCGATAATTGTCCAGAGCTGGTGGCTCTACCAAGCAATATGAGTCAACTAACTGCCCTGCGGTACGTTTCAATCAGTTATTGCTGCACATTACCAGATGGCTTACAAGGTGTCCCTTCCCTAGGAAGTTTGGATATATCATGTTGCAAATGTACTTCATTACCGGACTGGCTGGGAGACATGACTTCTCTTCAAAAATTAAGTATTGTGTATTGTACGGAGTTGAGGTCAGTGCCGAGTAGCCTTCAACACCTCACCAACTTGTCTCATTTAAGGATAGACGGATGTCCTCATCTGAAAAAGCGGTGCAAGAGGGAAACAGGAGAGGATTGGCAATACATAAAGCATATTCCAAAAATACAACTATATTTCTGGAGGGAACCGACGTTTTGTGATGAATTCAAGAGTATTTTGTTTACTTCTCCCCGTAATGTGTCACTCTGTCTTTGAAAATTTTGTGTAGCCTTTTTCGCGTTGTATATATATATTAAATATAAACAAAGTTTGAGTATTCCCCAGATTTATGGTTGATGTTTGGCACGTACCGTACCAAGTTCTGATTTCGTATAGGATTGAGCTTAGTCACTAACGAGGATGACAAAAATATATGGAACCATTGGTATCCTAATATAAAATCCGCTACAAGTACTGTATGGATATTTCAAACAGGTATTCATAATTAACAATGACAGATAATTTAATATATATTTATAAACAAGTCGAAATATTTACTATGTGTATTTGTCGGTACGCTCTGTAAAAAAAATAAATTAAAATTCAATTTATATTTTATTAGATTAAATTTAAATAAAATTAAAATTTATATTTATATTTAATTTAATTTGCATTATAATTTAAATTAATTACTTATAATATATTTAAATTTATTTTAAAAATTTAAAAATTATTTTATTTTAAAATATTTACGAGTATCAATATATTTTCTAAATGTATATACGGTGAATAATGGGATAGATAAGGTTGAATTTTCTGATGCAAGTTGGTAGAGAGACGGTTGTTGAATTCTAAATACTATTTGTGGTGGTTGTTGGTGTTGGGAGTGAGTTTGTTGGCAATTTTTGTGTTATTCTTAGCTTTTGCAAATTTTTATCACTGCGTTTTAGTTATTCTTAGCTTTGTGTTGCCAGTTATGTTTCACTATTTGATTTTCAAAGAAGAGATTGATTAGAGGTGTCTGGTTTATGATGGGGCAATTGTGGTTTTTGGGTTGGTTATTACAGTTACAACCTGGTCTTCCTTATCACTGTAATTAAGAGTAACAAGTTGATTTTGGTACATATAGATCACAAAGGCTTCCGATTTTTAGAGTATAAAATGCAAAACTGATGAAATCAGACCTGTGCATGAAGCTCCGACCGTGATCGGCGGCGAGGTCTATGGCTTGACTGGATGAAAAACACGAGTTGGTTAATGGTCTTCGAATTCCAAATCCCTAATTCCCTTATGGTTTAAACCCTCATTTGGTCCTCGTATTTGTGTGTCAATCTCAAGTGAGTCATCGTTTTTTTTTCGGTCTCAATCGGGTCCATAAACTTGTAAAAATGAGCCAATTAAATCATCTCTGTTACGATTTCACTAACGGTGTCTAAATGTGATGACGTGTTTATGCTGAAGTGCATTGTTTCATTATGTGAAATTTTTATTTAAATTAAATAAGTATGACATGGCAAAATTGAAAAGGGTTCTGAACGTTCTTTGCAAGATCTTAGAGGGGTGACCAGTGTCCATCGCTTGTGGATCCCTCTTCAATCTCAATGTTTCTGGTCTCCAAGATGTTGAGGTTAGGGATTCATAGTCTTCATCATCCTACAACGTCTTCATCTTTCCTTCACGTATTGTCGTTGTCTCAATGAGGTCACTGACGGTGGATTCCGGCGTCATCAGCACCTACACGGGGAGAGGCTTCTCAGAACGGGTACCTTCAACAGCATCTTCGGCGACTGTCTCGGAGGACAATCTGCTTCTGCCGCATCTTGGGAAATTGCTTCTACTGCATCTCCGGCGTCTACCATAGAAGAAATTATTTCCCTCGTCAAAAACTCCAACCACACATCGCAAAGCAAATTCGTGTTGGCAATCCACCCAAAGTTTCAGGCAGCACACCCTTTTGAAGGTTCCCAAAATAGTTGGCTCTATCTTCTGCTGCATCATTCCAGCGACTCAATGTAGGCCATGAAAAGTAGGCAGCATTGCTCTCAGAATGTTGGGTACCTCCAGCAAAAGGTTGCAAGTGTGGAAGACTAGATGAAGGGTTAAGATGACCATAGTAGCTCCTTTCCAAGACCAGAGCAGACTCCTCTGATTGCGTCGATCTAGAATGATGAGCTCTTAAGTCCAATGATTCTGATTCATCAGTCAATTCTCCTACATCACACCAAACGTATCTTCAATAAAATTAAAAAATGAAAGACACGAATCCAATTATTGAAATAAAAAACACCATGACCTGTTATACTCAAACTACAAAGTTTTTTCAATTAACAAACCAGTTTCAACATAGGTGGAGAAAATAGTTCAGAGAACATTTTTTATACAGGTTTGTCTATTGGCTTATACAGCAGAAGAAAATCGTTCACACAAAGTAAACTTCATCAGGATAAAGTAAACCTAACAAGTGAAAAATTACTATTTCATGAACATAATATAAACAACATAAACGAGAATGCCCCAGTACATCTCAACTAGAAGCTTCATAATACATCAACATCTCAACTCTAGAGTAATCGATTATACATTTTCATATAATACATCAACACCTCTTCGACACTACATCAAAATATTGGGACTGCAATCCCCTTAAAGCCAAAGCCATACCAAATCTTCAACTGATATATTCAAAATGAACCCACAAGAAGAAAAACTATAGGAAACAAGTGACTCATCATGAAGTGAACAAAAGAGAATCCAGAATCTCCACATGCATTAACAACCTAGAAATCCAAACCCCATCACAAGCTAGATGCTTTCATCGGAATAGAGAAAGAGAAATTAAAAGAGAGTAAACAAAGAAAGCCATTCCAAGAAATAGGTACCCAAAATGGAACAATGGCCGAACAGTGTGTGCAATAACAGACCCGTCCCAGAAAGAAAGAAAAAACAAACTCAAATCTTCTCAAGCCCAACCAGTGCGAAAACAAAACGCAACCCCTTCTTCGAAAAGGGTTGCGAAAAAGATAGAATTTTTGCAGGCCCAACCAGAGAAAACTCGCGGCGGCTAGGCTCGCTCAAGAGGCGACTAACGGAGGAACGAGAGAGCTCCTCTCTCACGCATGAAGAGAAGAAGGAAAAGGGAGGACCTGACACCATGCCGGTGATGCCTCCGACGGTGAACAACGATGACCGCGACTCGCAACGGCCTTTGAATGTCAGAGATCCCTTTAAATGTTAGGGCTACGTCATTCAATTTATACAACAAAACACTCATTCAATTTAATACACATTGCCACGTCGACTAAAAAAAATTACAGATTGCCACGTCGACTAAAAAAAAATTACAGCTCAGCAGACGCTGTTACTGAAAACTTAATGGAGAGGGCTTAATTGACTCATTTTTACAAGTTTATGGACCCGATTGAGACGAAAAAAAAAAACGATGACGCACTTGAGATTGACACATAGATACGAAGACCAAATGCGGGTTTAAACCTTCCCTTTTCAATTCACTCTTTCTTGACCATTTTTAATCCCTAATATGTTTTTTTAACATAAATCAATTGAATTTTGTCATATCATAATTCTGTAATTTAAATAAAAATATCACCTAATCAAACCATGCACATTAGCATAAACATGTCACCTCCTTTTATCACGGTATTTGACAATTTAATGGACATGGCAAAATTTGCTCAATTTTACAAATATTTGGACTCAATTGAGACCGTTTCAAATACAAAGACCCATTTGAAATTTTCCAAAGGATCATCCGAGGATTTAAACTTGTTTTAATAAAGCAAGAAAATAAACTCGTAAATCAGAAAAAAAAACTCTCTAATTTCTAATTATCAATCACAACATTCAATTTATCGAAAACAAAACCAAAGCTTATTTTTAAGGTGCACATCCATCATAAAAAAAGTATGCATGCCCACGTTGTGTTGAGAAAATATTCAGGGCTTAATAAGCATAAATATGAAACATCCTCATAGATGAAAAAAAGTTATAGAAATGTACATAACAGAACAATTTATGTGTTTTGTAAATCTAGCCAACAAACTAAAACAGAAAGAAAGCTGAATCTCTACTATCCTTACAATGATACTGCTCAACAGATATTTACAAGGCCGAGCATCAGTTCAACATTAATACTCTCTGCTACTCCAACAACTTCTTTACAATTCACCCATCTCACAACCTTTCTAACATCAATCCCTTTCTTATCTTATTTACTCTATTTTTTCAATTCCTTTTCTTTAATCCTAGTTTGTGATGACAACGATTTAAAATGAAAAAAAGGGAATACAGTTCCAAAACTCTTCGATGCGATCCACTGAACTCAGATGACATATCAACACAGAAACATAAATCTCAGTGATGGCTGCAGAGTTAACTGATCAGGAATTGAATCCTGTCAAAGTATAGAGCTGAAAGATTCGATGGGATCAGATTCTTCAAGCATGGAAGCTGCTTGGAAGCAGTCAGCGGCTTCACTTATTCTGCCATCTTGCTTGTTAAGCAATCCCAAGCAATGCCAAGCCATGCGGTTAGTGGGTTCTATTCGGAGTGCATCAGACAGTGCGCTTCTTGCAGCACAAAAAAACTTTGGACCCAATCTTTGAATCATGCCACCCATCAAGATCTTGCATGGAACATGGTTTGCTTCAAGTAGTATACCATTAATAGTAGCAAGGAAAGCTTCGTCATTTTGCCCACGTCCTTCAAACAAAACACCTGCCAAACCACACAAATATTCATTATAAAGATCCCCTCAAATATTCATAAAAGCTTAAAATTTCAAGGATGGCATGCGGATCCTGTTACGTACCCGAGTATGGGTCGTAACGAGTAGGCTCACTCACACACTCTCAGTGATAAGGAACAATGGAAATTTACTGAATATAACTCTGTTATTGAATAGAAATACTGAATCAAAGACAACAACCAATAACTGGGAGCAGGATCTCCGTCAGTTACGTGAGAGCATAACCTCTCTTACAAAACCTAATGATCAAAATTCATATCCTTCCCCCTAGGTTTCCCCTATCTTATTTCTATTCACTCCCTCCCGAAAAGGTAAAGAATAAAAGTAATTACGCCTATTTATTATGATTATCTGGTAAGAATATCTTTATCCTTATTTACCCTATTTAACTTATATGTAATAATATCCTGAGATACGACCATAAATTCTAATAAATGTCCCGCCCATCCTAACTGTTGTGTCAGTTAGGATGCTCCCCACTGCTCCCAACCGTTCGGTCCTCTTTCTCTCTTCCTTCTACCGCTCGGCCAGGTCCCTCTCCACCTTCTATCATTTGATCCGCTCGCTCCCTGTTATTAACCGTTCGGCCATCGTGCTCCACCCTTTCCACCGTTCGGCCCATGTCCTCTACCATTCGGCCATTGTGCTCCACCCTTTCCACCATTCGGCCCATGTCCTCTACCGTTCGGTTCCCTTCTTTTTCTCTCCTATATCTCTTTCTCTCGTATACTTGCTAGCCCCTAACATACTCAGTACAAGTTGGGTGGGAAATAATTAGAATAAATAAAGGGAGAGTCTAAGGTTAAAGGCAGACTTTTGATTTGAGAGTTTAGTGAAGGAGGTTATGCTCCAGAATAATTGACAGAGGTTATGCTCCGAATTATTGTTTACTTTTGTTTATTCAGTTATTCTTATCAATAAAAGAGGTTTATTCATCCATTTTCTATTATCTATTTGTCTGTGAGAGTGCGTGAGAGATTGTTCTGGTTAAGTTTCGTACTCAGGTACGTAACAACTAGGTTCATACAAAAAAATGCCAACCAAATAATCCTGACGAATCCCCTTCAGAAACCCAACATATTGTTGAATATAATCCTCCATCAACACCAATTGGCGCAACCCAATTAGAATTTCAAAAGGATTTTGAAGCATTATGGGTTAAAAACGGCGGACAACGACTACCTTCAATGCTTCCCACGTAGGATTTGGATTGCAGATTTCCCACCACTGAAACTAATTAAGGCCCTCCCTTCCAAAGCAAGTATGACAGCCTGCATTCGTTCCTCCTCAATAACTTCCTTCAATCGAAAATAACATTCAAGACAATTAGTCCAACCATACACCTCCCCGCAAAAATTGGAATGTTCAGTTTCCTCCATTTTGAGGAAGACAAATGATGACTTGTCTCTTCCTCCCAATGTGACCCTTGACCAACATTAATCACTAAAGCAGTTTCTATTTAAGAGCAATTGCTCCTCTATGAATAATATCAGAAACAGTTTTCTAACAGATTCGTCGTAGAAAACCTTCAGAATTTAAACCACTTTACATGGATATCATGTTCATACAATTGTTGAAAAAAGATCAAAAAAAGCAGTTAAATCCAATTTATTCAGCAGTGATGCAGCTATGTTTCAAAAATTGCTTAAAAAGGGTCTTCAAAATACTAGTACCCACTTCCACTACTACAATTGCTCAGAAAGGTAATCATTTTGCAGGTTTTCATGTCCTCCACCAGAAAATAAGCTCCAAAGTTCTAAAGTGATTTGGAGCCTCATAACACATGGCTGACGATATTCATGTATTTAGAAAAGACACCAATTCCACAATAATTTTATTGTACGTAGTAGATAGAACAACTTCTAAAGTGATTGGTAAAGGTTTTGTGGTTACTTCTGACATCACTCTTGAATCAGTTTTATGTCCCTAAATTGGTCTGCAACTTACGGTGCAGCAGTAAATTAACCTGATATTTAAAATGCAAAACTAAATTTCTTCCNATAGATGGTGAGACGTATGACGGCGTGGAGGAGAAGGCATTTCCATCGTTGGAGGAACTGATTGTTGATAATTTACCAAATTTGGAGAGGTTGTTGAGGGATGAAGGAGTAGAGATGGTCCCTCGTCTTTCCCAATTAAGAATTGATGATGTGTTGAACTTTAAAGTCCCACGTCTTCCTTGTGTTGAGACAGTTCATGCTAGAGGAATTGAGGCAGTGACTTCTTTCATGGAAGGGGTTGGGGAGAGTATGGCTTGTCTAAAGACCTTAAGCATTAAATTCATTAAAGGAGTGGTGGTATTACCCGACGAATTCAGGAGGTTGGGTGCACTACAGGAACTATACATTAGAGAATGGTATGATGTGGAGTATTTTCCAGAACACGTGCTGGAAGGTCTAACTTCTCTTCGAACTTTGTCCGTTGAATACTGTGAGAAATTGAAATCGTTGTCTGAAGGTGTGCGACATTTGGCTTGTCTTGAGAATTTGAGAATCGATAATTGTCCAGAGCTGGTGGCTCTACCAAGCAATATGAGTCAACTAACTGCCCTGCGGTACGTTTCAATCAGTTATTGCTGCACATTACCAGATGGCTTACAAGGTGTCCCTTCCCTAGGAAGTTTGGATATATCATGTTGCAAATGTACTTCATTACCGGACTGGCTGGGAGACATGACTTCTCTTCAAAAATTAAGTATTGTGTATTGTACGGAGTTGAGGTCAGTGCCGAGTAGCCTTCAACACCTCACCAACTTGTCTCATTTAAGGATAGACGGATGTCCTCATCTGAAAAAGCGGTGCAAGAGGGAAACAGGAGAGGATTGGCAATACATAAAGCATATTCCAAAAATACAACTATATTTCTGGAGGGAACCGACGTTTTGTGATGAATTCAAGAGTATTTTGTTTACTTCTCCCCGTAATGTGTCACTCTGTCTTTGAAAATTTTGTGTAGCCTTTTTCGCGTTGTATATATATATTAAATATAAACAAAGTTTGAGTATTCCCCAGATTTATGGTTGATGTTTGGCACGTACCGTACCAAGTTCTGATTTCGTATAGGATTGAGCTTAGTCACTAACGAGGATGACAAAAATATATGGAACCATTGGTATCCTAATATAAAATCCGCTACAAGTACTGTATGGATATTTCAAACAGGTATTCATAATTAACAATGACAGATAATTTAATATATATTTATAAACAAGTCGAAATATTTACTATGTGTATTTGTCGGTACGCTCTGTAAAAAAAATAAATTAAAATTCAATTTATATTTTATTAGATTAAATTTAAATAAAATTAAAATTTATATTTATATTTAATTTAATTTGCATTATAATTTAAATTAATTACTTATAATATATTTAAATTTATTTTAAAAATTTAAAAATTATTTTATTTTAAAATATTTACGAGTATCAATATATTTTCTAAATGTATATACGGTGAATAATGGGATAGATAAGGTTGAATTTTCTGATGCAAGTTGGTAGAGAGACGGTTGTTGAATTCTAAATACTATTTGTGGTGGTTGTTGGTGTTGGGAGTGAGTTTGTTGGCAATTTTTGTGTTATTCTTAGCTTTTGCAAATTTTTATCACTGCGTTTTAGTTATTCTTAGCTTTGTGTTGCCAGTTATGTTTCACTATTTGATTTTCAAAGAAGAGATTGATTAGAGGTGTCTGGTTTATGATGGGGCAATTGTGGTTTTTGGGTTGGTTATTACAGTTACAACCTGGTCTTCCTTATCACTGTAATTAAGAGTAACAAGTTGATTTTGGTACATATAGATCACAAAGGCTTCCGATTTTTAGAGTATAAAATGCAAAACTGATGAAATCAGACCTGTGCATGAAGCTCCGACCGTGATCGGCGGCGAGGTCTATGGCTTGACTGGATGAAAAACACGAGTTGGTTAATGGTCTTCGAATTCCAAATCCCTAATTCCCTTATGGTTTAAACCCTCATTTGGTCCTCGTATTTGTGTGTCAATCTCAAGTGAGTCATCGTTTTTTTTTCGGTCTCAATCGGGTCCATAAACTTGTAAAAATGAGCCAATTAAATCATCTCTGTTACGATTTCACTAACGGTGTCTAAATGTGATGACGTGTTTATGCTGAAGTGCATTGTTTCATTATGTGAAATTTTTATTTAAATTAAATAAGTATGACATGGCAAAATTGAAAAGGGTTCTGAACGTTCTTTGCAAGATCTTAGAGGGGTGACCAGTGTCCATCGCTTGTGGATCCCTCTTCAATCTCAATGTTTCTGGTCTCCAAGATGTTGAGGTTAGGGATTCATAGTCTTCATCATCCTACAACGTCTTCATCTTTCCTTCACGTATTGTCGTTGTCTCAATGAGGTCACTGACGGTGGATTCCGGCGTCATCAGCACCTACACGGGGAGAGGCTTCTCAGAACGGGTACCTTCAACAGCATCTTCGGCGACTGTCTCGGAGGACAATCTGCTTCTGCCGCATCTTGGGAAATTGCTTCTACTGCATCTCCGGCGTCTACCATAGAAGAAATTATTTCCCTCGTCAAAAACTCCAACCACACATCGCAAAGCAAATTCGTGTTGGCAATCCACCCAAAGTTTCAGGCAGCACACCCTTTTGAAGGTTCCCAAAATAGTTGGCTCTATCTTCTGCTGCATCATTCCAGCGACTCAATGTAGGCCATGAAAAGTAGGCAGCATTGCTCTCAGAATGTTGGGTACCTCCAGCAAAAGGTTGCAAGTGTGGAAGACTAGATGAAGGGTTAAGATGACCATAGTAGCTCCTTTCCAAGACCAGAGCAGACTCCTCTGATTGCGTCGATCTAGAATGATGAGCTCTTAAGTCCAATGATTCTGATTCATCAGTCAATTCTCCTACATCACACCAAACGTATCTTCAATAAAATTAAAAAATGAAAGACACGAATCCAATTATTGAAATAAAAAACACCATGACCTGTTATACTCAAACTACAAAGTTTTTTCAATTAACAAACCAGTTTCAACATAGGTGGAGAAAATAGTTCAGAGAACATTTTTTATACAGGTTTGTCTATTGGCTTATACAGCAGAAGAAAATCGTTCACACAAAGTAAACTTCATCAGGATAAAGTAAACCTAACAAGTGAAAAATTACTATTTCATGAACATAATATAAACAACATAAACGAGAATGCCCCAGTACATCTCAACTAGAAGCTTCATAATACATCAACATCTCAACTCTAGAGTAATCGATTATACATTTTCATATAATACATCAACACCTCTTCGACACTACATCAAAATATTGGGACTGCAATCCCCTTAAAGCCAAAGCCATACCAAATCTTCAACTGATATATTCAAAATGAACCCACAAGAAGAAAAACTATAGGAAACAAGTGACTCATCATGAAGTGAACAAAAGAGAATCCAGAATCTCCACATGCATTAACAACCTAGAAATCCAAACCCCATCACAAGCTAGATGCTTTCATCGGAATAGAGAAAGAGAAATTAAAAGAGAGTAAACAAAGAAAGCCATTCCAAGAAATAGGTACCCAAAATGGAACAATGGCCGAACAGTGTGTGCAATAACAGACCCGTCCCAGAAAGAAAGAAAAAACAAACTCAAATCTTCTCAAGCCCAACCAGTGCGAAAACAAAACGCAACCCCTTCTTCGAAAAGGGTTGCGAAAAAGATAGAATTTTTGCAGGCCCAACCAGAGAAAACTCGCGGCGGCTAGGCTCGCTCAAGAGGCGACTAACGGAGGAACGAGAGAGCTCCTCTCTCACGCATGAAGAGAAGAAGGAAAAGGGAGGACCTGACACCATGCCGGTGATGCCTCCGACGGTGAACAACGATGACCGCGACTCGCAACGGCCTTTGAATGTCAGAGATCCCTTTAAATGTTAGGGCTACGTCATTCAATTTATACAACAAAACACTCATTCAATTTAATACACATTGCCACGTCGACTAAAAAAAATTACAGATTGCCACGTCGACTAAAAAAAAATTACAGCTCAGCAGACGCTGTTACTGAAAACTTAATGGAGAGGGCTTAATTGACTCATTTTTACAAGTTTATGGACCCGATTGAGACGAAAAAAAAAAACGATGACGCACTTGAGATTGACACATAGATACGAAGACCAAATGCGGGTTTAAACCTTCCCTTTTCAATTCACTCTTTCTTGACCATTTTTAATCCCTAATATGTTTTTTTAACATAAATCAATTGAATTTTGTCATATCATAATTCTGTAATTTAAATAAAAATATCACCTAATCAAACCATGCACATTAGCATAAACATGTCACCTCCTTTTATCACGGTATTTGACAATTTAATGGACATGGCAAAATTTGCTCAATTTTACAAATATTTGGACTCAATTGAGACCGTTTCAAATACAAAGACCCATTTGAAATTTTCCAAAGGATCATCCGAGGATTTAAACTTGTTTTAATAAAGCAAGAAAATAAACTCGTAAATCAGAAAAAAAAACTCTCTAATTTCTAATTATCAATCACAACATTCAATTTATCGAAAACAAAACCAAAGCTTATTTTTAAGGTGCACATCCATCATAAAAAAAGTATGCATGCCCACGTTGTGTTGAGAAAATATTCAGGGCTTAATAAGCATAAATATGAAACATCCTCATAGATGAAAAAAAGTTATAGAAATGTACATAACAGAACAATTTATGTGTTTTGTAAATCTAGCCAACAAACTAAAACAGAAAGAAAGCTGAATCTCTACTATCCTTACAATGATACTGCTCAACAGATATTTACAAGGCCGAGCAGCAGTTCAACATTAATACTCTCTGCTACTCCAACAACTTCTTTACAATTCACCCATCTCACAACCTTTCTAACATCAATCCCTTTCTTATCTTATTTACTCTATTTTTTCAATTCCTTTTCTTTAATCCTAGTTTGTGATGACAACGATTTAAAATGAAAAAAAGGGAATACAGTTCCAAAACTCTTCGATGCGATCCACTGAACTCAGATGACATATCAACACAGAAACATAAATCTCAGTGATGGCTGCAGAGTTAACTGATCAGGAATTGAATCCTGTCAAAGTATAGAGCTGAAAGATTCGATGGGATCAGATTCTTCAAGCATGGAAGCTGCTTGGAAGCAGTCAGCGGCTTCACTTATTCTGCCATCTTGCTTGTTAAGCAATCCCAAGCAATGCCAAGCCATGCGGTTAGTGGGTTCTATTCGGAGTGCATCAGACAGTGCGCTTCTTGCAGCACAAAAAAACTTTGGACCCAATCTTTGAATCATGCCACCCATCAAGATCTTGCATGGAACATGGTTTGCTTCAAGTAGTATACCATTAATAGTAGCAAGGAAAGCTTCGTCATTTTGCCCACGTCCTTCAAACAAAACACCTGCCAAACCACACAAATATTCATTATAAAGATCCCCTCAAATATTCATAAAAGCTTAAAATTTCAAGGATGGCATGCGGATCCTGTTACGTACCCGAGTATGGGTCGTAACGAGTAGGCTCACTCACACACTCTCAGTGATAAGGAACAATGGAAATTTACTGAATATAACTCTGTTATTGAATAGAAATACTGAATCAAAGACAACAACCAATAACTGGGAGCAGGATCTCCGTCAGTTACGTGAGAGCATAACCTCTCTTACAAAACCTAATGATCAAAATTCATATCCTTCCCCCTAGGTTTCCCCTATCTTATTTCTATTCACTCCCTCCCGAAAAGGTAAAGAATAAAAGTAATTACGCCTATTTATTATGATTATCTGGTAAGAATATCTTTATCCTTATTTACCCTATTTAACTTATATGTAATAATATCCTGAGATACGACCATAAATTCTAATAAATGTCCCGCCCATCCTAACTTTTGTGTCAGTTAGGATGCTCCCCACTGCTCCCAACCGTTCGGTCATCTTTTTCTCTTCCTTCTACCGCTCAGCTAGGTCCCTCTCCACCTTCTATCATCTAGTCCGCTCGCTCCCTGTTATTAACCGTTCGGCCATCGTGCTCCACCCTTTCCACCGTTCGGCCCATGTCCTCTACCGTTCAGTTCCCTTCTTTTTCTCTTCTATATCTCTTTGTCTCGTAGACTTGCCAGCCCCTAACATTACCTGCCGCCTGAAGATCAACCTTGCCCTCAAGGTTGAAGTCTGGGTATTGATCCCTGATGATTGTGGCATCTTCCCATATTGCCCCGTCCGGTCCTCCCTCTTGCCATTCGATCAACACTTGTTGACGCTCTTCCTCTCCTCGTTGCATCTGTCTTTTATCTAGAACTCTGATCACCCAGAAAGACGGTCCCTCCATCTGCAAGTCTAGTGGAAACTCTTTCTCCACACTCTTCTCCCCCACGCCTTCTTCAATTGCGACACATGGAACACTGGATGTATTTGTGCGGTTTCGGGTAGTTGTAGCTTAAAAGCCACTTCTCCTATCTGTTGTATGACCTAGAAAGGTCCAAAATACCGAGAGGCTAATTTAGGGTGCAGTCTGGACGGCATCGAAGTCTGGAAGTGTGGTCTGATCTTCAAATACACCCAATCTCCCATCTCCACATTGGCTGGTCTTCTTGTCTTGTCGGCCTGCTTCACCATCATTTCCTGAGCCCTTGCCAGATGGAATTTTAGCTGGTTTAGTGCCTCATCCCTCGTCTGTAGCTCCTGTCCGACGGCTTCCACTAAGGTCTCTCCCGAAATGAACCTGTGCAAAGAAGGAGGAGATCTCCCATACAATGTTTCAAATGAGGTGCATCCCGCCGACTCCTGATAACTGGTGTTATACCAATATTCCGCCCAGGGTAACACTATGCTCCATTCCTTTGGTTGTTTTGAACAAAAGCATCTCAGATAACCCTCCAACACCCTATTTACCACCTCCGTTTGCTCATCGGATTCTGGATGATAGGCTATGCTCATCTTCAATTGTGTTCCCTGTAATTTAAACAACTCCTTCCAAAAACTACTCAGGAACAGTGGACCCCTATCACTCACGATAGATACTGGTACCCCATGCAGCCGGACAACCTCCTTTACAAATACTTCAGCTATGGTGTGGGCGGAATAGGGATGTCTCAGTGGTATAAAATGTCCATATTTGCTGAGGCGGTCTACGACTACCAACACAGCATCGTACCCGTGGGACTTAGGCAACTTTACGATGAAGTCCATACTTATCTCCTCCCAAATGGCGTTGGGTATGGGTAACAGCTGCAACAACCCCTGCGGAGAGGATGACAAATATTTATGCTGTTGACACACCAAGCAGCGTGCCACAAAGTCGGTCACGACTTTCTTCATTCCTACCCAGTAGAGAGATTGCGCAACCTTGCGATAAGTATGTTATACCCCTGAATGCCCTCCTGTTTGGGTGGTATGAAATTCTGCTATCAATTTGGGTACCCAGGCCGAGCGGGCTGATAGTACCAACCTCCCCTTGTAGTGTAGTCGCTCACGTTCAAGAGTAAACGAGGAATGTGAATTGGGGTCCTTCCTTAAGTCTTCTATCACCTTCTTTAACTCTTCATCTGCTTCAAGTTCCTCCAAAATCTCCTCGAAGTCTTGCCAATAAGGTCTGGCCACAATTCTTAATTCCTTTTCCTCTTGCGGGTCATCCTCTTCCTTCCGCAATAGGGCATCTGCTACCCTGTTGGTGACTCCTGATTTGTACACAATCTCAAAGTCATACCCCAAGAGCTTTGCAATCCAATTTTGCTGATTCTGAGTGGTGATGCGCTGCTCCAACAGGTACTTCAGGCTCCTTTGGTTAGTGTGAACCACAAACCTTTGCCCCAAGAGATAAGGCCTCCAGTGTTGTATGGCTAGGAGCAACGCCATCAATTCCTTTTCATATATCGATTTGCTCAATGAACCCTCCGATAACGCCTTACTGAAGAACGCTATGGGTCTTTTTCCTTGAGTGAGAACCGCTCCTATCCCCCTTCCCGGTGCATCACACTTGATGTGGAACGGTTGGTCAAAATCATGTAGAATCAACACTGGTGTAGTGATGGCCTTCTTTAATCTTGACATGGCTTCCTCCGCTGGCTCCGTCCATGTAAAATGCCCCTTTTTTAAGAAGGTCGGTCAAGGGTTTGGCAATCTTCCCATAGTCCTTCACAAACCGCCTATAGTACCCTGTCAGACCCAGAAATCCCCTCAAAGCCTTCACCGTCTTGGGCTTCTACCATTCTACCACCGCTCTTACCTTGTCTAGGTCCATTTCTACACCCTTCTCGGATATCCAATGACCCAAATAGCGTATCTGGGTTTTGCCGAACTCACATTTCTTTCTGTTGGCCACCCACCTGTTCGTCTTGAGCTTCCCTAGCACAATCCCCACATGTTCTAAGTGCTCCCCCCAAGATCGGCTATACACCTATATATCATCAAAGAACACCAGTACGAATTTCCTCAGGTAAGGCTGCATCAGGTTGTTCATTGCACTCTGGAAGGTGGCTGGTGCGTTGGTGAGACCGAACGGCATCACCATGAATTCGTAGTGTCCCTGGTGAGTCCGAAAGGCCGTTTTATCTATGTCTCCTTCTCCCATCTGAATTTGGTGGTAGCCGGACTTCAAATCCACTTTCGAAAAATATTTGGCCCCTCTCAGTTCATCTAACAATTCCTCTATCAGTGGAATAGGAAATTTATCCGGTACCGTGGCTCGGTTGAGGGCCCTATAATCCACACAAAATCTCCAGTTGCCGTCCTTCTTCTTTACTAGTATTACCGGACTGGAATATGGACTGGTGCTCGGCCTTATGACCCTAGTTTTCAGCATCTCGACCACCTGCTTCTCAATCTCCCCCTTCATCACATGGGGGTAACGGTATGGCCGTACGTTCACTGGATTCGTGCCTTCCTTTAATGGGATTTGATGAGCCATGCCCCTGTCCGGAGGTAGACCTTTGGGCTCATGAAACACTTCCGCATGTAGCTTCAGAATCTGATCCATTGTCTGTCCCTGTGCCTTTGTCAGTTCACGACCGAACGGTTCTTCGTCCGCGCTCCTCTTGGTCCACCTGAGCTCCCATACTAACATCCAGGCTTCAACTTCTTTCATCTTGAACAACGCTTCTGGATCAACCATCCTCCGAGCTAAGGTAGGGTCGCCTTTTATGGTTTTTTTCTTTCCTCCTTGGTCGAACACCATGGTCAATTCCCTCCAGTTCAACGTCACTTCTCCCAGCTTGGCTAACCATTCTACTCCTAGTATCACATCAACCCCTCCCAATTCGAACAGATGGAACTGTTCGGTAACCTCGGTTTCTCCCATGTAAATTACCACTTTCTCACAGCATCCCCTGGTCTTCTTCTGTCCATCTCCCAAACTCACCGAATAGGGGGAGTATCCACCACGGTTAAACCCAACTCTTTCACCAGTTCGTTACTGATGAAGTTGTGGCTAGCGCCACTATCAATCAGAATCAGCACCTGTCTCCCTCCTATCTGTCCATGTAACTTCATCGTTTTGGGCTGGGTTAGCCCCCCACTGAGAAAGCTGACAGCTCCATCTTCATCTGGTCAAGCTCGGTCTTCTCTTCTTCTTCGTCGTCTTCCTCATCCTTTGCCAATATCGTCATCTGCAGGCTCCTTTCTGGACATTGGTGGCCTGGACCGAACAGTCCCCCACACTTAAAACATCTTCCTTCTTCCCTTCTTTTCATATACTCCGCATAAGGTAAACTCCTTATGGTTCTTTCTCTGTTGTTAATGAGCGATTGGCCTGCGCTACCCCTGTGTGTTCCCTCTCTTCCTCCTGCGCCCCCGTTCTCCATGGTTCCCGCTCGGTTTCCTCTAATCACTACCAATCGATTTTGGTTGGATCGACCGGGCTCCAAACGCATGCCAGAACCGCTTGGTCTTCCCCAGGATTGGTTTCTGTTCATACTTCCACTCCCCGTCTTCGTACCCCCTTGGACGTCCTCCACGTCCCTTGCTATTCTCATAGCCATCATCAATTCCCTCGGATCAAGCAATCGAACTTGCTTTCGAATTCCATCCTGTAATCCTGCCATGAAATATCCCATAAGTTGTGCTTTGGCCAATCCTTTTGTCTGCCCTACCAGGATCTCAAATTCCTGGATGTATTCCTCCACTGTGCCTGTCTGCTTAATGGCCGCCAGCCTCTCAAAAACTGGTCCTTGGCTGATGCCTCCCAACCGTACTACTATCGCCTCCTTCAGTCCCGTCCACGTACGATCGTCCGTTTGTTCCCTCCAAAACTTGAACCAGAATCCTACACTACCCTCCATGCTGATGTACGCCAAGCGCAAGTTTTCCTCCTCAGACACCCCTTGTAATTCAAAGAATTTGTCTGCCCTATTGATCCAATTCAGTGGATCACTCCCTTCGAAGACTGGTAACTCGATCCTTCTTCTCCAGTTCAAGGGTTCCTCCTGGCGTTCAACTCCATACGGCACATTACCCCTGTCACTGTTCGATCCATCTCCTTCCCTACCGAACGGTCTACCGCCGTTTGGTTCTTCATCTTTATCGCCCTCCTCTTTGTTGATTTTTCCATTAACATACCCTTGACTTCCTTCGTGTTTCCCCTCTAGGTAAGGGGTTTGTGTTGTCATCACTCTCATTAGCTCTTGAAAATTCTTGCAGAGTGCGTCCACCACGCCTATGGACACTTGCATGCTTTCCTGACTTAACCCCACGTGCTCCAATTTTACTTCGACGACGCTCATCCTTCCCTCCATGACGTCCTCTCTCTTTTCTGTCGCTTCGGCTGGCCTCGTATTCTCCCTTGTCAGATCCGGAAGGTCGGACCAATTGTTACATACCCAAGTATGGGACGTAACCAGTAGGCTCACTCACACAGTCTCAGTGATAAGGAACAATGGAAATTTACTGAATATACATCTGTTATTGAATAGAAATACTGAATCAAAGATAACAACCAATAACTGGGAGCAGGATCTCCGTCAGTTACATGAAAGCATAACCTCTCTTACAAAACCTAATGATCAAAATTCATATCCTTCCCCCTAGGTTTCCCCTATCTTATTCCTAATCACTCCCTCCCGAAAAGGTAAAGAATAAAAGTAATTACGCCTATTTATTATGATTATGGTACCCAATAAAGCTTGGGGCTATCTAACAAATGCTTAAAGCTTGGGGCTATCTAACAAATGCTTAAAGCTCCCTCAATGCAATCAGCAAGTGATTTGAAGTGGGGTGGGGTGAGAGTTAAGTTTAACATGCTTAAACAGAAAACTTAAAGCAACACGAAGATTTTGGTCTTGCCTTGAGTGTGCATTACTGCAGCAGAGTATTTCTTCAACTCCCTGGCCTTCTGCAGACAGATTTCAGCATCCTTCCAACGAGAGAGACTAGCATATAAATTTGCCAGACCATGCCAAATATCAAATTCATTTATTTTATCATCCAGAACCTGAAAAGAGTTAACAAAATTGAAGTCATTGATTTCTAAATCAACAATTTATAACTTAGGGGGGTGGGGGGCGTATATTTCTTTCATTTGTCCGTCCTTATCAGCCAAAAAGTTTCTCAGTAAAACATAAGGAAGGAGGAAGGAATGACTTAAAACTCAGTGTAAAAAATGACAATCAAAGGGAAATATCCGAACATAAGAACAACATAAAAGATATGTAAAATATACAACGGTCTTTCCCATATTTTTTTTCTTGACACATCTTTGATGCTCTCATTTTTACAGACAAAAGCCAACTCAACCTTTTTATAACACTAACAAATGCTTGCTACTGTGTATTTTGTTTGGTAATTAACATCACAGTAAATTTAAGTTTCTTGTAAGTCAAATCTAAAATGGTATAGAACTGTACTTTGGAGTATCATTTTGCAATACGAATCTCCTCAAGTGCCTTCAACTGACAGAATTTAGAGGAAACTGTTAGAATCAATTACACGGTGGGGGACCTTTTTAGTTCCATATTGGAAGCATTAGATTTTTATTTGAGGTTTATAAGGCCTTGGACTATCTGACTACAAAAGGCTAAACAATGTTGTGTGGTTCTCGCACTGTTCCTGTATTTATATATATTAAATATAAATACAAATATTTTCTTTTAATTTTAGTATTTTTATATATTTAGCATTCCAAAATTTTGTACACCTATAAAATGGTTTTGGCACCTCCAAAATATTTTCGAAAGATCCACCAATGTATACAGGTAGTGTAATGTTCACAGCACTATTTAAAGGACTAATCTTGCATGAGCCCTGAAGCTGTGGTGCATGGTGATTTGTAGGTTCCAATTACAATGTACAAGACTTGGTAGACTGAGAGAATATGTTGTAGGGTTCGTAAGGCCTTCAGGTTCCTAACTACAAAATTGTAGCTTCTGTAGTGTCGCTTTCTCAAAAATCCTTAAACACTAAACCTTAAACATTATAAATATGACCAAAGCTTTAGATGGCTAAAACTATCCTTGACTAGTGCCATGATTTAATTTAGGATTAAGTTTTGGGTTCAGGCCAAATTTAGGATAGTCTTAATTTTTATCATAGACACATGTTTTGGTCACCTTACAGTTTTCTGAAATTTTATTAAATTGAACTGATACAGTATTACAAACTACACCTGAACTGAGTACAAAGGTCCCTTCCAAGATGTTGAGAGCTTGATCTCTCCCTTCCTGAAACCCACTCAAGAAAAATGTCCCCTCCCTTTCCCTTATCTTATTTCTTTTATTCTACTAATAACTGTCTAGAGTCAGTTAGACTTGCCCCTAACAATAACTGTTAAACTAATTAATAAATGCTAAATCAATTTGGTCCTACTAAAAAACCAAAATTCTGGCTCTCTGATAAGCAACCTGGACTCGGGCTTGCCCTCAGGCCTGGAAAATTTGGAATACCTAATGATAGTTGGTAGATGCTCTCCATGATCGATAGCAGCCTGATAGCGGGTGGAACAACATGCCTAACAAATAACAAATATTGTTAGGATAGGCTCTAACCATAGCTCTGATACCATGTTAAGAAATGGACTTTAAGTCTAACTCAATCACACAAAACCGGCTTATAAGGTGAGGTTTGCACCCACTTATATATTATAAATTGGTCTTATCTTTAATCGATGTGGGACTTCCAACACTCCAAGAACTTGTTAGCTCAAATATCAATTGCTAAACACCAACTAGTGTGCAAATAAGGATTGAATTTTATTCAATTGAATTGATACCAAGTTACAAATTACACAATAACTAAGTAAAATTAATTGAGTACAAAGGTTCCCTTCCAAGATGTTGGAGATTGATCTCTCCCTCCCCAAAACCCACCCTGGAAAAATCGCCCCCTCCCTTCCCTTATATTTTTTTATTCTACTAATAACTGCTTAAAGGCAGTTATGCTTGCCCCTACTAGTAACTTCTAAAACTATTCAGTCCTGCTAAAAATCCTAAATCCTGTTTTTCCTCTTATAATATTTACTTATAAGAGGCCTAACACTTTCCAAATAGATGTGGGTTGTAATCCCATGTCAACTACTGATCCTCATGAGTTAGCTTTTGAGGTTGAATTTGTTCTAAGAAGAATTCAATTGTTTTTATCCAAAAAATTGAGGGTGGCAGAGCAATCTATTCATCCATCATCCATTCAATCCACCCATTACAAAAATATAAAACAATAGGGTGAAATCCATTCATTTAACTATATGGAAAGTTAATCATACATATATTATTTTTAAAAACTCAATAGATTCTTCCATCAATGCTTATTGGATCAAAATCACTCTAATTAATCTTTTTTTCATAATTAATCTTTCTTAAATATACCTTCTTAAAAAAATTTAAATATATAAATTTAAAATTTATTCTGTAAAATTTATTTTTTATTTTTTAGAAATATATTACTTTTATGGATAGATTGGTTTGAATTGAATTTCTATCTAATGAATCAAGATGAATCATATTTTTTTAATTAAATTTTTAATGGTTCAAAATTGATTAATGACTCTTTTAATCTAATCCATTATAATCCAAAATAAAATCTGTTCAATTTGTCTAATGTGTGACCTCTATCAAAGGATCCGCAGGAATCTTACCTTTGAACTAATTTGGGAAGACCCAAATGATTTATTCTGGGCTTGAACCAATGCAAGAAGGTATCTATAGGTTTCAATAGCATCCATTGGTCGTGATTGGGATATCTTCAACTTTGCTTTCAGCCTAAGCAGTGGCCCCTGCTCCCATCTTGCAGTCTGATCTAAAGCAGCATCTGTCACCACTTCAGCTTCAGAAAATCTTTGCTGTGCAGACAAAATTAGAGCAAGCAATCTCCAAGATTTCAACATAGAACCACCTGTTTGATTAAAGAAATGTCTCGCAGAGCGCAAAGCAGCAGACAAGTTTCGGTGTTGCGCATAATGAACAGCCAATTCAAAAATCAGATCAGAATTGTTTGGCTCCAATTTGATTGCTGCCACCAATGACTCTAAAGCTTTGGAGTGAAGGCGAGACCTCTCAGAGTCAGAGGAAGCAACCTTAGATTGCTTTCCAAGACAAAGTCCCAACATCCGTAGAGCAACACCTTTCAAATGCTCATTTTGGTCACGAGCATTATTGACTGCCCTCTGTGCATAGATCACTCCCTCAGCAGCAAGATGGGGATCTGAGCTGCAGATCCGAGCTGCTAACACTAATGATGTAATGTCATTTGGTCGTTCATGTTTGTGCAAAGATTTCCTTAGCAGGCTCAAAGCACAGTCATTTTGTCCAGCACCACTATAACAAAAAGCTAAAGAATTCCAACAATCGATTCGATGGTATACTCCAGGCATCAACTCTTCAATTTGCTTTGCTAAAGTAGAAGTTTGGCTACATATAGAAAGTGCAAAAGTAAGGTGTTCCATGACTGATGGATCCCATTTCATCTTACCAAGGCTAAACTTTCTCAAAAGAACCATCAATAGCAGAATAGCCTCTTCAAGATTATTTTTAGGCACATATGATCCTTCAATCTGAACTGCCAAACTAGGTGGACTTGCCTCCACCCCACTGTATAGCAAAAACATAACAAATGACTTCTGAATTCTTGCACAGTAATCATTATCAAGGTTCCATTGACTAAAAAGGGCTCGCCTATAAGCAGAGATTGCCTCATCATAGCAACCAGCTTGCTTCCAAAGCTCTGGAAGGAGCTCTACAGCATGGCTGACTATCTCTTGCAATTTATTATCCACTTGAATATTAGGAATACCCTGATAAAATATCTTCTCAACGGAATCAAGAATACGTTTACAATTATTAGCAGCCTCTGCATAAATTCATTAAACAAGAATTTCAATGTATCCATTCTGATTATGAAATCACTCCCTTTTAGAAGGGAAAAAAATATTAAGAAGGTAAATGTAAGGTGGAGAAAAATTTCAACAGTCAAGGTTGTATATGATACCTGTAAATTTCTCTAATTTTTGCAGAGACTTGGCTTTTAAGTAGATGGCTTCAAGCACCAAGCTAGCCGCATGCTGAGAGCCCGAGGCTGATTCAGTGTGACCACGACCTTTCTTGCCCGGTGGTTTCTCAGAAAATGAAGATTGCAACCTCTGAATGGCAGCTTGGAGATCAATCCCATCAAACACACGAAGAGCACCTTCTACATTACCTCTCTGATACTCCAACTTACCAAGAAGAGCTCTTGCTTCCTGCAATGTTTTAAGAGTAACATCAGGGCTAAACTCTATGATCTGATTAATTTCTCCCAAAAAACAGCTCCTCCTATCCAGTGCCAAGAATCAATGCATTCAAGATATCATTTGTATCAAATTTACACAGTACAAATTACGAAGCCCATTTCTTGTATTGACATGTTTTTTCTAGCTTCAAAAAATTCAATTATGTTACGTACATATGTACAAATTGCAATCTATAATATGTTCAATGCTCAAATTAGAATAATATGAGTACTACGACAAAAATACATTGCATGCTATCAGATTCAAAGATCCTGAGGTTTGGCTCACAGATGAAATTTATCGCCTTGTTATTGAAGGTGTTGAGAACATAGTAGTTACAGTTACCTAGAGAAGGCAGACCTTATTCCTATAAATCTAAGAGTTGCTCCGAAACAGAAATATAAATCAAGACAACATATTGAAGTCTAAATAATTAGCAAACATGATGAATGAGTAGCTAAATTCCAACAACAAAAAATTTCAGAGACAAATATCACAACCATTTGACATCAAGATCAGCTTTCTCCAATAACTCTAAGTGACAATTTGGCCCTTGGTTTCTGCTTCTTACTATTTGAAAATATGAAATGCACAATCCAGAAACAGTTGCCACCAGATGTCATAAAAGAGAAACAAAGGGAATATTTTGCTACACAAATAAATGGCTGACACAAACTAGTAAAGTGTGGCAGTATTAACAAACAAACCTCAAAATTGAGTGACAATCCTTCTCGCAACGAATCTTCTGCTTCTTGAATATTTCCTTGATCAAGCTTGGCCTCAACTTCTGATGCAGCCATGCGGCTTCCATTGGCCTGGAACTCCCTAACTGATACTCTCCCATGCTCAGTAGACCCCATCAATCATTTCCCTCCAACCTGCACACACTCCATAACCACCCTTTCCACGTAAGTTCCAATTTTGTCGTCCCTTAGAAGCTTCAACGGCATTGCACACTGGTCATATATATTTCACAAAATCTAAACAAAAACTCATACACACAAGTCCAAATCTTTAGTATCGCAAAGAAAAACAAAGTTCCCCGTTTCACACGGCATTGCTAAAAACTGATCCTAGCATTGTCATATACGATGCAAGTCCCCACAAATGCATGTTTTTCACTTCAAAAGTCGTTTTCGATGTAATGGGGTTCCGTGATAACATAAAAATCATCAAACTTTGGAAGAAAAATTGAAAATTGCAGAAAAAAAAATTACATGGGAGAGGGTGGGAAATTGCAGATCCAGGGAAGAAGCTGGAAAATGGAACAATGAATAAAAAAAGGTTGTGACTGACCAAAGCAACGTGGCGTTGGAGCAAAGGGAATAGATGCAACAGTAACCGAAAGGAAGATCTAGGAGAGGGGACCCTTGAATTTTATCAGCATTTGATCAAAGTTGATGGCATTGTCTTATTTGAGAGGAAAAAACAACAATAGAAAGAAACAGAAGAAGAGTGGTGGGTGGTTTGAGGTCAACCGCTGTTACAGCTGGTGAGAGAAGAGAATGACCAAAATTGAATGCCCAAGAAAAGTAACAACTAAATACTCTCACTTCTTTTAAAATTAATATAAACTTTAATCTTTGCACATTTTAATTTTACCACTGTGGATAATGCAGAGACTCTTACAGTGTTAATTAATTCAAAATAGTTTATTTATAACTTCTAATAATTATTAAAATAATTAATAACACTGAGCTTAGCAATTTAATATTTATACCTCTTTTTAAATAAATTTAAATTTATGCATTATCATTTAAATACATATGTAATCAATTATTTTCTATCTTACTAAAATGATTACATGATTGATTTATTTTATCCTTTTATATTATCACATGTATGTGAGAAACTTCCGTTATTAATAGAGTAGTACAATGATAATTATGATATAATTAAATATATATTGAATTAAATTTAAAATTAATATTAATTTTATCATTAACCGTCACTGGTACATTTTAACTTCTAAATTGTATTTTATATTTTAATGCTTTGTTTATATTCGAAAGTTAAATAGTAAAAAAAACGGAAAAGAATAATAACTAGAGCATGAATAAATAAATAATTGTATCAAAGAACTGAAGACATAGAAAAAAGTGAAATATTTTTTATTATCAATAATTTTTCTTTACTTATTATTTTAATATATTATTAAAATTTAAATATTGATATAATATTTGTAACGTATTATATTTAAAATACAATTAATTATGCAGTCATACAATCAATTAAATAAAATAATTACAGTATAAATTACAGTTTTTAATATAATGGTACATGATAATATTAATTATGTCTAAAAATATAATATGACTTTGAATATGTTATTTTTTGAATTTTGTTTGAATATATCTCAATAAATAATTTTACTTTAAGAATATGTAAAGTATATCAAATATTCTTATTTATACATATATATTTATCTCAATTTATTTTTAAATATTGGAATCTAAAGACATTTAATTTTACTTATTTGTAAGAAAAAAAAACAATATAATGAAAACCAATAAATTTTAACATTTAGAAAATTTTAAATTGTAAAATAGTTTGAAATATTATTTGACTTTTAGTTATAATTTACCCAACAATCTTGTCAGAGCGGCTGCAGCGGATGGGTTAGCGTGGAACAACAAACCAAGAGGGGGGTGAATTGGTTCTTACTAAAAACGTGTGCCTTAAAAATTTCTACTCAATTAAATTTACTTAGCTATTAATAATAACAATAAAATAGAGTAAGGTTGAGAGAAATTTGCACATATGATTTTATCCTGGTTCGGATCTTACCAATCCTACGTCCAGTCGCTTATCTCTAAACAAGATAAACAATTCACTAATCACAAAACAATTACAAACTACAATCACACAGATACAATTTGTAAGAGTTTAGAAAACACCTCTCTTGATGCCACAAGAGATGAACCAACACCTCCTTTGAATCTTCACAAAGGATGAAACACTTCCTCCGAATACTTCACGAAGGATGAACCAACACCTCCTTTGAATCTTCACAAAGGATGAAACACTTCCTCCGAATACTTCACGAAGGATGAAACACTTCCTCCGAATACTTCACGAAGGATGAACCAGCTATTCCTCTATCACCGTAGCAGTCTTTCACCAACTCTACAGATAGAGTTTCCTTAGCTGAGCAAGAGCACACAATTCTCAAGAGTTTCTAAGTATTTGAGCACAAGGGAAGAGTTTCTCTCTTGCTTGATTGTTGCACTTGAGAGGAAATGAGAGTCTATTTATAGACTCATCCAAAGGCTCTTCCATTTTTCGTTTTCAGCCTTTCTGACTGTGTTAATCGATTATCTTAAGTTGCTAATCGATTAACGCACCAACGGATAGTCCAACGGCTCTAAAAACGGCTAGTTTTTCAAACGGTCACCTTGCTAATCGATTAACACCCTCTGCTAATCGATTAGCGCTAATCGATTAGCGCTAATCGATTAACACCCCTTGCTAATCGATTAGCACTGCATTGCTGTGCTTCTCCATTCGCCACTGGAATAATCGATTAACAGCCTCTGCTAATCGATTAGCACTGCACAATTTTTGCTTTTGGTTTATTTTTACATCACTTTTGAATGCATACATAAAAATACTAATTTCCTATATTTATACAGTTATTACAAAAGTTACAAGTCTTCAAAGATCATTCTTCATGAGTCTTGGTTGTTCTTGACTTGATTTGGACATCATCAAAACTTCATCTTCATCATTTTGCTAACAATCTCCCCCTTTTTGATGATGATCAAAACCTTTTTGATTTAAAGCTTTTGTTAATAATCTGTTTTTAAAATACAACTTAAGGAAGAAACAATTGTTAGTGAACTTAGAAATAAGTTTAAGACTTTAAATATTTCTCCCCCTTTTTGATCATTATTAAAAAGTGATGTATAATTTCTCCCCCTAAATTTATTAGAAATTATACTCCCCCTTAATAAAAGCATATATGCATAGAAATATTAAGGAAAAACAACATACATTTTATTGAATTTAAAGAGGCAAGCATACAAGGAAGTTAAATATAAAGCACACACACTACAAAAAGCATAGAAGCATAAAGTGCCTAAGACTCATCATCACTATCGGGAACATAGAGTTTGGCTAGTTTGTCATCAATTTCCTTGAGGTGATTATTTATTTCATCATAGCGAAGAGTGTGATAAGCCATCATGTCATCCATCCTAGTTTGTTGCATAGAGGCCATTGCTTCAATTTGTCTAGATATACTTTCTAGACTATATTCTTGTGGAGGATGAGATGGTCCAGCAACATTTGTTGGATCTGGCATAGGAATATCTTCATCTTCTTCATCGGATTCGTTATCAACTTGTGCAATATCACCTTCAGCACGGACAAACATATTCCCTTGTCGTATAAAACCCATTTGATGCAGTGCGGATTCCTCAATTTGATGAGAAGGTAAGACGCTGAGAAATTTTTCTCCCGTAATATCAACTCCTTTATACACACAGATTAAGGAAACAAGGAGAGGATATGGAAGATGAGCTCGGTCATACCTCTTTGTACATACTATAGTATCAGAGATTAGACTTGCCCAATTGATTTTTGAATTTTGAGTAATAGCAGACATGAGCATCAAATCGGTTTCAAGGCATTGTGCCAAGTTTGAACCTCTTGGACAAAGCAACCACACAATAAGATAATGAATGACCCTTTCCTCCATTCTAAGATTTCCTACTAGAAGATATCTTCTATTAGGTAGAGGTTGTTGGGGATTGCGCATGAAAGAGCGATAGGCCAAAATTTTGTTTAAATTTTCAAAGTCATTTGGCACATGCATATTATTTTCTAGGATTGGAAGTTGTGCGACATTTGTCCAAATGTCATGATCTAGAACAATATCTACACCCTTAACACGAGTGTAAACAATACCACTGTGGACCTTCAGATTATAGTAAAAGACTCTTACCAAATCTGGATAATAGCACCCTTGAAGTTGCAAGAAATGTTGGACGCCTTGCTCAACCAATTGCCCAGAGAACTGGAATTGATTTGCAGTAAACCAATTTAGATCATCAAATTTTTGGCGAAGAACCTTCCGTTCTTTCCACATTTGCAAATATTCCTCATGCCTTCCATCGTCTGAAATCCACCCATGAATATTTGGACCACGTGCGGGAGGAGTGCTCTCAGATGCATAGCTTCTTCTTCTTCTCCTTCTTGAGGGTTCAGCCATGAAAAAAAAAATTTGGACAGCAAGATTATGGTAATTTTGAGTGAAGGAATGAAGAGAATTTGAGTTGTAGAGTGATGGATAATGTGAGTGGGTAAAATGAGGGATGGTAGGGGTTTAAATAGGCTGAAAATTCACTCCTAACGTTCAAAAAATCAAAAAATGGCCGTTTATAGCCGTTACAACGGCTAGATTTTGCAGAATTTACTCCCTGTAACGGTTGCTAATCGATTAACAAGAGGTGTTAATCGATTAGCGCTAATCGATTAGTGGTACGGACTAATCGATTAACTGACGCTGATTTCCGAAAAACATCCAATTTGTTACCTATGTCCAATTTTAAGATGTTTTCAATATTCCTAAATCTCTTATAAGCTCATAGAATCTATCCTTAGGCAATGCTTTGGTGAAAATATCAGCTAATTGATGTTGTGTATCAATATATTCTATTTCACAATCTCCCTTTTGTACATGATCTCTAAGAAAGTGATGCCTAATCTCAATGTGCTTGGTTCTAGAGTGCATTATGGGATTCTTTGTAAGATTTATTGCACTTGTATTATCACACTTAAGTGGAATATGATCTAAATGAATGTCATAATCTTCTAATTGTTGTTTCATCCATAAAATTTGCGCACAACAATTTCCAGCAGCAATATATTCAGCCTCAGTTGTTGATAAGGCTACACAGGCTTGTTTCTTAGAGTTCTAAGAAACTAAGGAACTACCTAGAAGATGACATGTTCCACTAGTGCTTTTTCTATCTATCTTACAACCTCCATAATCTGCATCGGAAAAACCTACAAGACTAGGTTCCGTTCCTGATGGATACCATAAACCAAAGGATGCATTTCCCTTAAGATATTTCAATATTCTTTTAACTGCTGTAAGGTGAGATTCTCTAGGACTAGATTGATACCTAGCACACACACAAACACTCTGCATAATATCCGGTCTACTAGCAGTAAGGTATAACAAAGAACCTATCATGCATCTATATTTAGTTTGATTTACCTCTTTACCTGACTCATCTTTGTCAAGATAGCAAGAGGTTCCCATAGGTGTAGATGCTTCCTTTGCTTTGTCCATTTCAAACTTCTTAAAATTTCTCTACAAACTTGTTTGAGAAAATGAACGTACCTTCTTTCATTGCTTAATTTGAAGACCGAGGAAGAATGTTAATTCTCCATCATAGACATTTCAAATTCACCCTGCATAGTCTTAGCAAATTCCTCACAAAGAGATTTATTAGTTTGATCCAAAAATAATATCATCAACATATACTTG